ATAATTTTTTATTTGTACCCTGCCCATCTGGCTGGGTTTCCCCAGCCACTCTGGGCAGCTTCCAACAAAGATTAAAAATACATCAAAAGGCCACACATTAAAAATTTCCCTCTCCTGCACCCTGAACATTTTCACAGAATATAACCAATTTGTAGAAAGGACTCTACGAACTGAGACACTTTATGTACTTTCGCAACCCAAGAAAATATGCAATAAAAACAATTCAACAACAACAACCCCATGTGTCTTTAGGTGAAGAGGTAATCTGTACCCTGCGTTTGAGAAAGTGCAAGGTCACCACACCCACTTTGGGTCACACCCAACAGCAGCATGGTGGTTGACCAAGAATGAATTTGTCCCTTGGGCTGAAATGATTCGGGTTGTCCATACCTGCTGTACTCCCTGCTCCAAAACCACAAGAAGAACAGAATCCTGAGAACCTCCGCCAAGAGATAAGATACTGCTGAAGCCTGACCTCCTCCCCATCCTCCTGCTGCCCTGACAGAGCATGTACCTGTCATGGAAGAAGAAGTTTTGGCTCTAGCAAATCCACCATACTGATCAAAACGCCCTGGGAATTATGCAGAAAGTAACCTTTTAGTTTATTGCTCCTGTTTCCATTTCGGAAATGTCCTTCAAAATGCCAGGCAGTGATTGGATTGCGCCCTCCCCTCCTAAAGATGTGTTTTGTGGGTTTTTTTAAGGTAGATATAAACTGCATTCTGAAAGCACACTCTTTTTCTTGGTATTTTTTTAATTATAGCAAATCATTCATCTGATGCAAGGTTCTGTTTCCTTCTCTGTGTGTGGACATACCCTGCTTTCTATACTGTTTATATTTTTCACACACACACCATCCTTAGAACAAAGTTCTCAGGGTGACTTACAGCAAGTAAGAAAAAATGAATTAATATTCAGTGAAGCTCTCTGGATTCTGGAGATTGTCCCACACACTCTGCAAAGGCCCAGATCACAGTATTCATATTTCCCCAACTATTTCAGTTGGGCTGGTATAGACATATTAACCTCCCACAATTTTAAAAATAAACTATTTATGATTTTCAATTTTATGCATTTCACTAATTTTACAATCATTTTAAAATTCCAAAACTCGACTTCCTTCCCACTCTTTCTGTAGTTCCTTAAATTTGGTTTTTTTATATAATTTCTGCATTTTCCAAATTAACTTCACCTAATCATTTATTCATCTACATTAAATGTATACTCTTATAAAACTGCAGGTTATTACAATAACCCTGCCAAAGTTCTTATCTGTTTGCAGTTTGTTTGTAAATATCCAACAAACCATTTCCATTCTTTTGTAGAAAGTTAGTTACTTTGATTTTTTATTTCTCCGGTAAGTTTTGCCATTTCTGCATGTTCCGTAAGTTTTTGTATCCATTCCTCTTCCATCGGGACTTCCCCACTTTTCTTTGCTAGTGGGTTGCGTCCCATGTTAACCGGTGCCAGTGGAGGGTGCAATTTTGCTTTTCCAATTTGGGCAACGAATTGTGTTGGGGTTTGGATGCAGCAGACATAGGGAGCTGCTTTGTATTGAGCGAGACCATTGGGTCCACCTGACTCAGTGTTTTCCACACCTGGGGTAACCAAGGTGATACCCTCCAGATTTTATTTTATTTTTGCTGTATTTAATAATAATAATAATAATAATAATAATAATAATAATAATAATAATTTACTTATACCCCGCCTCCCCAGCCAGAGCCAGGCTCAGGGCGGCTAACACCAGTAAAATTACAATTAAAAAAAACAACACAATTTAAAATACAGGTTAAAATATAATTTAAAATGCAGCCTCATTTTAATAGTAGCCCATAGATCAAAACCATAAGGGGAGGGAAACATAAGGGTCAGATTGAGTCCAAACCAAAGGCCAGGCGGAACAACTCTGTCTTGCAGGCCCTGCAGAAAGATAGAATCATAGAATCATAGAATCATAGAATCATAGAATCATAGAGTTGGAAGAGACCACAAGGGCCATCGAGTCCAACCCTCTGCCAAGCAGGAAACACCATCAGAGTACTCCTGACATATGGTTGTCAAGCCTCTGCTTAAAGACCTCCAAAGAAGGAGACTCCACCACACTCCTTGGCAGCAAATTCCACTGTCGAACAGCTCTTACTGTCAGGAAGTTCTTCCTAATGTTTAGATGTCAAGTCCCGCAGGGCCCTAGTCTCTTGTGACAGAGCATTCCACCAAGTCGGGGCCAGTACTGAAAAGGCCCTGGCCCTAGTTGAGACCAATCTAACCACCTTGCAACTTGGGACCTCCAAATGGTTGTCATTTGTGGTCCTTAAGATCCTCCGCGGGGCATACCAGGAGAGGCAGTCCCGTAGGTACATGGGTCCTAGGCTGCATAGGGCTTTAAAGGTCAAAACCAGCACCTTAAACCTGACCCTGTACTCCACCTGACCCTATACAGCTCCCATCATCTCTGGCCATTGGCGGAGGGGCTGACGGGCATTGCGGTCCATCAAACTCTGGCAAGGCTGGGATTGAAGGGCACTTGGCTGCTGCCTTCATCTCACACCGCCCTCCCAGTCCCAAGCCAATTTGAGAGGCTGCCGTGATCCAAGGGCCACATTGGCCAGCCAGGCCTAGCTTGGCTCTGGGGTGTGTGTGTGTTGTCTGCTGGCACCAGCAGCGAGGGCTGGGCACCGACAAACTACTCTGCACTGCTATGTTCTGCCTCCACTGACAGAGGCAAGATGCCCCAGCATACCAGTCACTGGGCATCACAGGTGGGCAGAGTGCTGTTGTGCTCAGGTCCAGCTTGCAGACTTCCCACAGGCATCTGGCTGGCCACTGGTGAAGCAGAATGCTTCACTAGATGGACCTTTGCCTGATCCAGCAGGCTCATCTTACATTACCACATTGGCTACCCATGGTCTACAGCGATGAGACATCCCCAGCACCTACCAGAAGGTGCCAGGATTTGAACACTTCTACATGCAAAGCTCATACCTGTCAGGGACCGTGCGGAGGAGGGCTGCACTGAGGAGGGAGGGTGGGAACCGCCCCACCCCCTGCTCCTAATCAGGATCTTGAATCTTCCCAGGAGCAGGAGGACAGTATAGATTTGGAACAATGGTTTGCAGAGGGGACGCAGGTGGCGCTGTGGGTTAAACCACAGAGCCTAGGACTTGTCGATCAGAAGGTCAGTGGTTCGAATCCCCACAAATGAGCTCCCGGTGCTCAGTCCCTGCTCCTGCCAACCTAGCAGTTCTAAAGCACGTCAAAGTGCAAGTAGATAAATAGCTACCGCTCCGGCAGGGAGGTAAACGGTGTTTCCGTGAGCTGCTCTGGTCCGCCAGAAGCGGCTTAGTCGTGCTGGCCACATGACCCAGAAGCTGTCTGCGGACAAACGCCGGCTCCCTTGGCCAATAAAGCGAGATGAGCGCCGCAACCCCAGAGTTGGTCACAACTGGACCTAATGGTGAGGGGTCCCTTTACCTTTACCTATAGTTCAGAAGGCAGAAGCTGGGAACTACAGTGGTACCTCGGGTTAAGAACTTAATTCGTTCTGGAGGTCCGTTCTTAACCTGAAACTGTTCTTAACCTGAGATACCACTTTAGCTAATGGGGCCTCCTGCTGCTGCCGCCGCGCGATTTCTGTTCTCATCTTGAAGCAAAGTTCTTAACATGAGGTACTATTTCTGGGTTAGAAGAGTCTGTAACCTGAAGCATCTGTAACCAGAAGCATCTGTAACCTGAGGTACCACTGTTCTGGATGGGGAACAGCTAGCAGAAGAAACACTAGAAGAGAGAGCTCCCGTTGCTCAGTCCCTGCTCCTGCCAACCTAGCAGTTCGAAAGCATGTCAAAGTGCTAGTAGATAAATAGGTACCGCTCTGGCGGGAAGGTAAATGGTGTTTCCGTGCGCTGCTCTGGTTCACCAGAAGCGGCTTAGTCATGCTGGCCACATGACCCGGAAGCTGTACGCCGGCCCCCTCGGCCAATAAAGCGAGATGAGCGTCACAACCCCAGAGTCGGCCACGACTGGACCTAATGGTCAGGGATCCCTTTACCTTTAAGGAAAAGTGGGACATTCCGGGATCAAATCAGAAACAGGGATGGCTTCTCTAAATCAGAGACGTCCCTGGAAAATAGGGACACCTGGAGGGTCTAAAAAGCTGGTGCTGTACCACTGAAGCATGGTCCTCTGCTTAGGGGCCTTATGATCAGCTCAATCCCCTCTCTAGTTCACCATTGTCTATACTGACAGGTAGTTTCTCTCCACTTTCAGACTGGGGACATTCCCAGTCCTACCTGGAGCTGTGACCTTCTACATGCAAAGCAGACGCTCCACCACTGGGCTACGGGTCCTGAGCGTTCTGCACTGCTTTTAACCGCAGTGCCTGCTCCCAGGGGGTGTGGAAAGGGCAGCTGCAAGAGCTCTTCGCAGGATGTCATCGTTCCCATCAGAGGCCAATTAGGAGACCGCTTAAGACCTCCTTAATCTCTTGCCACTCCCTCATAACTGCAGATAAAACCTATTATAAGCCCATCACAAGCCACAGTAGCAATCACCTTAATTAATTAGCACTCAGGGCTGATCTATGCCAGCGTCTGACTGCCGGGTGATATAACCAGAGGTGGGGGGGGGAGAGTGGCAGCCAGGTGGCTTCTATTATTTTGAAGCCCCGGGCAAATCTTAGAGCTGCCAACTGTGCCACTCTAAGCCACGGACACAGACATGCAAACCAGATTCCAGGGCTCACTCATTACCCATTTTATCCCATTTCCATCTTAATTTCTGTGATTTGAATTTAAGTAGATATTTCCTCTCAAAACACATTTTTTATTTTTATTTTTAAAAATATTTATTTATTACATTTATATCCCAACTTTTTTCTCCAAAAAAGCTCAATGGCATGTCTTGGTTCATTCTCTTCCTCCTCGATTAATTCTCACAACAACCCCGTGAGGTAGGTTAGGCTGAGAGGCAATGACTGGCCCAAAGTCGCCCAGTGAGCTTCACGGCCGAGTGGGGATTTGAACCCTGGTCTCTCGGGTTCTAGCCCAACACTCTAACCACTACACCACACTGGCTCTTATTGTCCTACTTTTTGGGGAACCAAGGACCACTTCAATATGCTTTCATAAGAGGGAAAGGGGGCATCATCCCTCTCAGAATCTACAGAGCTTCAACTCCACGATCATTTCTGAGTGAAGATGGATGAATCTGTTAACTATGGTTTCTTTCGGTTGTTCCATTCACCACCCGTGATCCTAAACTCAGGAAGAAGAAATACTGAACCACAAGTTTCGCTGGAAACATTGTAGCAATGCCATGTACTTTTATTGACTTCTCCTTCTTGCTGTTCAAATACAGGTTGTAGTCCACTAAATTCTCTGGTAGCTCAGTTGGTAGAGCATGAGACCCTGAATCTCAGGGTTGTGGGTTCAAGCCCCACGTTGGGCAAAAGATTCCTGCATTGCAGGGGGTTGGACTAGATGATCCTCATGGTCCCTTCCAACCCTATAATTCTATGAAATTCTACTCAGAGTAGACACATACCTAATTTAGCCATTCCCATTCATTTCAGTGGGTCAACACTTGAGTATGACCAGCTTATCATGAACATTCAATGAGGCTGAATGTTGGAAGATTTAGGACAGACAAAGGAAGCACTTCACAGAGAGCCTAGTTAACCTGTGGAACTCACCCCCACTGGGCACCAGCTAGGATGGCTTTAAAAGAGGATTGGATCAACTTCAAGCTATTGATGGCTACTAGCTATGATCTACATCCCTGATCAGAGGCTACGTGCTTTGTGAAGACAAATCTTGGGGGGGGGGGTTTCAATTCAGTGTGGATTTAAATTCAAAACAAGAAAAGTGGGACCCAGCAATTAGGCGTTTGGCAAACTGTAGGCGAAGGTGGATAACATTCTCCACACAACACAGCAGGGAATGCCGGCAAGTCAAACGCAGCAGCAGGAGCCAGGAAGGGGGGACGCAAGGCAATTTCTGCAGCAAATAACGTTTGCTAAGCTGAGCTAATGATATGGGTATATCTCAACTTCTCCTGAGTCTCTGGGTAAGCTGATCACCTCGGTGTCTGAGCTTGCCTAGCAGCAAGGGGGAAATAGCTCTGTGCAAAGGCAAGCTGCTCTGGCTGTGTGAGGAAAGGGCATCAAGAGGCAGAATGCTGATGTCAAAGGCTACAGCCAACAGGAATGGGAAGGAAAGGATTTAAATCTGCATTCAGGAGGAGGAGGAGGAAGAGGAAGAGGAAGAGGAAGAGGAAGAGGAGGAGGAGGAGGAAGAAGAAGAAGAAAGAAGAACTTCAAAACATTTTGCAGTTGGGCATCCAAGTTCAATGGCAGATTTTAATCCATAAAGTCGTGTGCATCGTTCCATGGACAAATCCACCCACAGCAGATGTCAGACACGGCCTAGCCATCACCTAATGCAAAACATCCGAAGAATTGCCTTTTGTTTCAGATGGAACATTAAGTCAGTTCCACACAGCTTTGTGGAATAACAATGTCAAGAACGTCAATCAGGAATTCATCCCAGCTTCATTATGATGATTTTCGTTTGGGTCTAACTGTGATAGAAGAGGTGTCAAAGGGTTGGAAAGGACCAGAGCAAAGTCAAGGGTATAAAACAGCCTTCTCCAACTGGGTGCCCTCTGGAAGGGTCAGCCCATTTCCCCACTCTTTTTGCCACCGCTGCCAGAATCAAGTGGGGTCTTGGAGCACCAGGCAAACAATTGCTTGTGGGCCAAAACAGGCCCTTTATATTTGCTGCCCTTACAGCAAATGAGTCCATTGCTGTATCCTCTGTCTTAAACGTCACAGCCATGACGGCTGTGCTCTGCCCCCATTGGGGGCGATTGGCGTGGCGATCAGTGTCCAGGGGGGCGATTGGCACCCAGAAGGGTGGCGCGGTGATCCGCCCAGGGGGGATTTTGTCACAATGGGATGACACCCAGGGCGGACCGCCCCCCCCTCCTATGCCCCTGCAAATACATGTTGGAAATGGAAGGAATAAGAAGGCACCTTTTATCATATGTGGTGGATATGTACAGTAAGGTAGTAAAAGAATTATGGGAGATGATATACAATGAACTGGGGGGGAAATGTTCAAAATAACATTTTCTTTAAAAAAAACAAACCCCAAAGCTTTTCTTTTCAGAATTCTAGTTGCCAAAATTCCAACGGATCAGAAAAGACTATTTATGTATGTGACCACTGCTGCCCGGATGTTACTAGCCCAGAGATGGAAAGAACACAGAGTCTCTACCAGAGAAGAATGGCAGGCCAGAAGAATCAGAAATCAAGAAGACCAAAATGTTAATAAGGAATGGGGAAAATATATAATTTACCTTAAAAACCACTGTAAACTGTAGGATTGGAATGAGACGTGTAGTTTAATGTTGAATTTTGGGTACAATGGAGACACCAATCCAGAGCTTTCACAACCTCTCCTGATTCAGAGATTAATCCAGATCTAAAAGATTTGGATTAATAGACAAGATGCAGGAGGAAAGGGTTAATATAACGACCCACAACGGTTGTTTGATAATTGTTTGCAAATTTTTTAAAATCTGAAAAACTCAATAATTTTGTTTAAAGAAAATGGCACAATCTTGACCCAAATTTGCACTGACCACAGTGGCGCTTCTCCTTCAGAAATGGATTCAACTGGGTGTGTGGCGGTGGCAGAACAATGGTGACAGGAGCAGGTAGGTGGTGGCAGAAGCGGCGGGAGTAGCAGGACAAAGCTGTCCTTCCCATTTTGCCTCAAGTGGCAAAAAGGGATGAGCCTCTCCTGACTGCAAACATGCAGAATTCTCCGACATCCCCAATTTGGCCATGCAGATATTGAATGCTGAAAGTCAACAGTGTGTGGCTTTGGCGCTGCTGTTCCTTTCCACCTCTCGAAATGATCCTCCTGCAGGCTTTAGACTTGTTTGCATCATGTGGTGGCTTGTTTGTTTTTATCAGACACCGAGCGTCATCTCTCAAATGTCAAATGCTGCCATGTGTTAAATATTGCATGTCCTCAATGCAACGCCATCAAGGGACTAAATGCTTGATGCGCCAGCCCTCCATTGCGGGCAAATATGAAATGCCGTTGCACGTCAGCAACCCCTGCCAAGTATAAATGCCACGAAATCTACTCTGCTACAACCGACTCCATTAAATCTTGCTCTGCTTCTCCAGAACATCTGAATTAGGAGAGGTTGTGAAAGCTCTGGATTGGTGTCTGAATGCAGTGGTGGTCTAGATGTGGGCCAATAAACTGTGCTTGGATCCTGCAAAGATGGAGGCTCTTTGGGTGGGTGATTCCCATGTTTGGGAGACAGGAAAGTTACCTGTTCTGGATGGGGTACCTGAAGGAGCATCTCCACCCCCATCGTTCAGCCTGGACACTGAGATCCAGCACCGAGGGCCTTCTGGCAGTTCCCTCATTGCGAGAAGTGAGGTTACAGGGAACCAGGCAGAGGGCCTTCTCGGTAGTGGCCCCCGCACTGTGGAACGTCCTACCATCAGATGTGAAGGAAATAAGCAGCTATCTTATCTTTAAAAGACATATGAAGGCAGCCCTGTTTAGGGAAGTTTTTAAATATTTAATGCTGTATTGTTTTTAACGTTCGATTGGGATGTTGTTGTTGTTGTTGTTGTTGTTGTTGTTGTTGTTGTTGTGTTGCACTGCCTCTGAAGGAGCAAGGGCATAGGTTGGCGTGTTCTCCTGCCTTTTACCACCTTCACCTGATTTTCCAGCGACAGCCGTTCCTGCACTAAGATAGCCTGACCACTGTAGCTCATTTATTGGTAACCTCAAGGATGGATTACTGCAATGCGCTCTATGTGGGGCTGCCCTTGGGCCTGATTTGGAAGCTCCAGCTGGTGCAGAATGTGGCAACCAGAAATCTGATGGGGGCATCTTGCTGAGAACCCATGATACCATTATTAAAACAGCTGCACTGGCTCCCCACCTACTGCTCAGCCGGGTTCTAGTTCCTTGTGTTAATTTACAAACCCCCACATTTATATCCCAGCTTGATCACTGAAATCACCTGCAGAAGCGCCATTTGTCATTCCAGAGTTGGTGAGGCTCACTTAACAGCAACAAGAGACCTTTCGTGTCGTCAAGCCCAGTATTGCGGACTACTTTGTGTCAATAGAGATTCAGCAGGAACCTTCTGTTGTGGTTTTTAAACGCCTGCCGAAAACATTTCTATTCTGCCAAGCCTGTGCAGGCAATTAAGAGTACATCCTTCCACAATGGTGCATTGATGCCTGTTTTTAACTTTTTTAATATGGTTTTTATTGTACAGTTTTGTTTTCTTGTTGTAAACTGACTGTGTGTGTATATATGCTTATGACATAGCAGTATCTAATACAGTCGTACCTTGGATCCCAAACGTCTTGGTACTCAGACGTTTTGGCTCCTGAACGCCGCAAACCTGGAAGTGAGTATTCCGGTTTGTGAACGTTCTTTGGAACCTAGACATCTGACGAGGCTTCCGTGCCTTCTGATTGGCTGCAAGAGCTTTCTGCAGCCAACCAGAAGCCACGCTTTGGTTTCTGAACATTTTGAAGTCGAAAGGACTTCCAGAATGGATTCCATTCGACTTCCAAGGTACGACTGTATGTTATTTATTTTCCTTTCTGGTTCTAACCACAGAACCATTCCACACACAAACCTGATTCGTGGATTTTGAAACCATGAAACCACACCATGCTCCTAACGTGAGCAGGGTTATCTGCTTGCAATTTCTGAAAAGGCCTCAGATGGGGTGTGGAATAGGTGCATGGATGGAGACAGGGTTAGGTGCTAGCAGCTCAGAGGTTGGAACCCAGTGGATAAGATGTGCACACAATGGGGGGAGGAGATTAACCCTCTCCTGGGCTCAAAAGAGAGCTTTCATGGTGTAAAGGTTAGAGCAGCTAGGGGAAACCTGGGCCCATCCTGGTTTTGAACTCCCAGAAGCTCCAGCCAGAAAGGTCAATGGTCAGGGATGATGAGAGTTGTAGTCCCAACATCTGGAGGCCCAATATTTCTCTCCACTCCTAGATAAGAACACCAGATTTAAATCCATGCACGGTCCTGAACTAAGGACTGCTTGGTTGGCGTTGCCTCATGACAGGGCCCATTCAGTGGTGGCTCTCAATTTGTGGGATGTGCCCCCTGGTGGACACATTCCTGGCCTGTCTCCATCTTTATTCAGGAGGTATTCGGAAACATTCCTGTTTCCCCAGATGCATTTGGCGACTGAGGAATACTGCTCCCGACAAGCTTGAGATGGGAGGGTGTTTCTAATTCCAATTGCTTTTGGAATGTTTTGAGCCTGCTTTGGAATGTTATTTTTTCTTTGGTTTTAGATCATATATCTCATTGCTGCCTTGGGCTCATAGGAAGGAAGGAAGGAAGGAAGGAAGGAAGGAAGGAAGGAAGGAAGGAAGG